GTGGCATGGTGCTTCTGGTGGATCTTCGCGCCACGAAGTTAGGCATGGACCTCGAGCTGGAGCCCGCCCGCCATATCTGGCAATCGCAAGGGCTGCCACTGTGTCGCTCTTGATTGACACGTCGCCCACCGACCTGTTTGTCCGACGTGTTCTCTTGAGCGGCTGGGCTCTCGTGACTTCGAGCATCGGAGCCGCAGTTCTCAACCGTCTCGTAGCGCCGGCATTCGCGGACCTCGCATAGCAACGAGCCGGATGATCGCGTGCAACGTGACGACTCAAACGTGCGCGGCACCGTGGTCGCCAGCCTTCCGCGGCGGACGCCGTCCAGAAAACCATGCACGACGATATTTTCTGTCGATTGGATTGCATCGAAAATGCCCCCTCCCATTTGACGCCCTTCAGGCAGCACGTCAGCAGCGACAGCAAACTCGGCAGAAACCGCGAGGGCGTCCGCGACGTTGCCGCTCACCTACCCCACTGCGGCAGCAGTGCAGAGCGGCCGCGGATCCTCGCCCCTGCTTGGGGTGACCATCCGCTTGCTCTGGCGATTCGGCGCACCCAGGGGCAGCAGCGCCGTGGAGCGCACGTCCGCGCGTCGCAATTGCACTCTCCAAGCGCTGCGCCGCTCGACGAGCGCGCGACCGCGTCCTACATGCCATTAGAGGACAGCTCTGAGGACGGCATGTCGTCAGTCTTTGTCATATCAGGCTCCTGAACGGGCATGATGCGTGACAGATGATTGTGCGTGTTGGGGTTGACGGGGCAAGTCTCTCGATTCGCCGTCCGTGACAGAGCGATCAACCAAACGTGGGTAGGGGCACCGGCGCAGGCGTCTAAGCGACCGCGGGCCCTGCGGCGACCCGCGGCGCGATGCCGGGGCGCCCCGTCCAAGGCGCAATGTCGCCGCCAAAGGTGCCCAACATGCAGCGCTACATTTTGGATTGGAATTCCGCAGGGTCGGCTTCGCATCGTCGAAGAGGCGCGCGCAGTCCATCTACGTGTCGACTCTGCGCCAAGCCTTCGACCTCTCTCCGCGCAGGTGCCGGGCGCGCGCCCAGCGCTGGTTTTGGGCGGCGACCGCCCTGATCGCGCGCGTCGTCGAGGGCTGCAGCGCCTTGGCGCCTTCGCGCATTGCGACGAGCGCGCCGGGGCGCCGCCTGTGCCCGTCGGCGCCTGCAGACTCGCAGTTTCTTGCCAGCGCGCGTTCTGCATTCTTCGCGGCATGCGCTGGGCATTTGCTGGCGCGCCGTGCGTCTGAGCGCGCGGCGTGACGGAGGCTTGCTAAATTTGCGGGCGAGCGCCCCATGTCGGCGCCGCCCCTGACGCAAGCAGTGGCGATGGCACGCTTCGCGGCAAATTCAGCGAGGCAGATGAATCTAGGGCAGCGAGTTGCATGCGGCCGACGCGCGCAGCTGCAGCGCGCGTTGACGACGACACCTCGTTGACCTTGCGCCCCTCACCTCGCGACGTCGTCGGCGGGGTGGCCATCGCCTCGGGTGCGATGCCGTTCTGAAGGGGCCACGCCCTTCGCGCAATCGCGCGCTGCTGACTAACTGCGGGGCGGGCGAGATGCATTTGGCTGCGTCTCACGACCAGCAAGCGCCAGCATATCGACCCAGTGACATGGGCTGACTTCCTCGCGACCGCGGCGTCAACTTCTGTCGCGCTCAGGGCCAGCTATCGACTCAGATGGGCGTCCGTCGCGCGGGTCCATGGTGGAGTCCGAAAAGCATGTTTCGCGGGCCATGGAAGCGGCCGCCCGCGCGCGCGCGTGGACACGACGCCCGCCGAGTCAGGGCGACCCCCGGCCATCGGCCACACCTGGCGCGTTCCAGCGTAAAAAGGCACGCCGCAGCAATGTCGGGATGAGACGCGCCAGCGCGTTCGCGCGGCAAGGCGCGCGAGCGCTGTCCAGACGCGCGGCGGCGCTCCCCGCCGGGCCCCGCAGATCGCAAGCCGCGCCTGGCGGCGCCAGTGCACCAGGCAGCGCCCAGGGTGGATGTCGACGCCGACAAGGCGTTACACCAAGAAGGCGCGATCAGCGCTGCGGCCCGCGCGCGCGCCGAGCGCGATCTGCGCCGGACCCGCTCGAATAGCGCTCTGCTTCCGGCTGTTAAGTATAATGTGTTCGTTGACGCCGCCTCGGGTGGGCCTGTCTTTTGGGTCTCTCTGCTGCGGCTTGCGGCCGTGATTCGCGACCCTGGGCGTGGCCAGCTCATCCCGCTCTCGAGTTGACCGCCGGTGAGCCGACAGGGCATCCCAAGGTCCACGACGTCCTGTTCGGGCTGAGGGTCCCGAGCCATGCGCGAGTTGCGCGGGGCGCCCACTGCGGGCGGCCCCAGGGGGCCGCGCTGCGGATGGGCGCTCTCCATTGCCCTGTCGCCCGGCAGCCCCGACTCGAATAGTGTATAGCGTGCGCGCGTTATTGTGCATCGTTGAAGTGAGAAGGACATGCGCTCTGCTATGTCTTATCTTACCGCTGCCGCCATATATTCTACCGTTCGCCCTGGGCACCCGCAGTTTTAGTATCCCTTGCTCTTCTCCTCTTCTGATTTTTTTAACAAAAAATACCTTCCACCTGGCTGCCGGCCTGCCCATTACTTTGCTGTTTTATGTTACCTCGCCGTCCCTGACGGGGCTGTGACCTGCTAGGATGACGTCATTCCGCTGAGTGTTTGCGAACTGCAATACCGTCGCCACTTCCGAAGGCTGCTGGGGGGTCTAGGGGAGTGACGTCGCAGGCAGACTCAGATTCGACCTCGCCTTCGCTGGTGAGCTGCGAGCTGCGATGCGGTCGCCATTTACGGGAGCTGTTGGGCGCCCAGCGGAGTGACGTCATACGCAGACCAAGATTCGACCTCGCCGTTCCGCGGGGGGGGGGGGAGCGAAATGCGAAGCTATCGCTATTTTCGAAGGCTGCTGCGGGGCCCAGCAGAGTGATGTGCTACGCCGCCTCGAATAGGACTTTTCCATCCCAGGAAGGCAGCGAACTGCGAAACCGCTGCCATTTTCAAGGGGTGTTGAGGCGTCTGGCGGGGTGACGCGCTATCCTTGGGGGCTGCGAAGTGCGAAACGGTCGCCACGTTTAGGGCTTTGGGGGGGTCCAGCGGGGTGACGTCATCTGCAAAATCAGATTGGACCTCACCATCTCTGTAAGGCTTCGAACTGCGAAACCGTCGCCACTGCCGGGGGTTTGTGGGTGGTCCACCAGAGTGATGGCACACGCAAATCCAGATTCGACGTTACCATTTTTGGGCGGGGTGTGGACTGGCAGACCGTTGCCATGTTCGAGAGCTTCGATGGGGTCCAGTTGAGTTACGTTACGCGCGGATTCAGAGTCGACCTCGCATTTTTTTTTAGAGGGGGATGCGAGCTGCGAGCCTGTCGCCATTTCCGAGGGTTGCAGTTGAGGTCCTGCGAGGTGACGTCATACGCAAATTCAGATCCGACCTCCCCATCCACAAGAGGGCTGCGTATTGTGGAGTCGTTGCTACTTTCTGCTGGGGGCTCCAGCGGAGTGATGTGCCACGCAAATCCAGATTCGACCTCGCCATCCTTTGGTGGGTGCGAATTGCAGGACCGTTGCCGCTTTCGAGGGCTGCTGGGCGTCCAGTGGAGTGATGTGCTACGCAGATTCAGATGATACTTCGCCAAGTACGAAACGGTCGCCACTTCCGAGAACCATTGGGGGTTCAGTATAGCGACGTTTTGCGCTGATTCAGATTCGCTTGTTATGGCCTTTTCAGAGGGCTGTCCGAAAACTTGGCGGCGCGCCTGCCGGCATTTAGTTCCCGCAGCGCAGAGTGCAGGAAGGAAACGGAGATCCTGGCGGGCGAAGTCGGTCTCGCTTTCTGATTGCAGTAGCCATGAGCAGCTTACCCTTCAGAACGTTAGAACGACATGGCGAGGGCCGCGCTGCGTGTCCACCGTGCCGCCACTGGAAAATACTCATATTGCCTCTTTCGTTGCCGTCTTTTTCATCCCTTCGCCGCCGCGTTGCTGCTGCTGTCGCGTGAACGTTCTGTCCCGCCCCCATTTCGTCTTCGACTTTGGGCCGTCGCTTTGTTGTTGCCCTGTGAGTCGTGCGACGCGCGCACGTTTTCCATGTAGCATGCGCAACCAATGACAAATCCGGCGTTGTCATGGGCGTTGCTTTTCTGGACCAGTTCTTTTTGCCACTAAGTGCAGATGGACTGGGCGCGTCGCGGGGTAACTTTCTGGGAGGGCTACGTTCTTTGAGGGCGGCCCCGATCTTTCCGATGAGTGGAGCCTTCCGTTTCTAGGGCGCGTGTTGAATTCTTTGCGGTGGTGATCCATATGTGTGTATCTATGTGTGTGTTTGTGTGGGAGTTCTTATGTGTGGAATCCATGTCAGTGGGGACCTGTATGTGTGCGTATGGAACACCATGTCTGTGGAAACCCGACGTGCCGTACGTTGACTTCTACGCACGTGGAATCCCATGCGTGTGGGAATCCTTGAGGGTTAAACCCCATGTGTGTGCATCCGTGGAACCCCATGAGCGGGGGGAACCTCGCGTTGGTAAATGTTGTATGCACGGAGTCCACGTGTGAAGAATTCCACCCGCGTGGAGCCCCATGCGTATGGAGCCCCACAGGGCGACACCGAGGTGTGGATCCTCACGGGGGTCCCAACGCCACTCCATGGAATATTCTCAAGCGAACACGAATTGTTGAGCCAATTGGAATTTTCAAAGCCACTGTGTGGAGTATCATGGGCCAGCGAGGCCACACGCAAGGCAAGGAGAGACAGTCATTTGAAGGGCTAGTGCGACCCGTCAGTGCAAACGTGCAAATGCTGTTTTGGGAGCCAGGGCTTCCTCCGTGTTCCCACCGGCGTAAGTCAACGACTAGTCCGCGCCATTCTCCCGGGCATGCGTCTAACTCCTCGGTGCGGATGAACTCGCTCACTTCGGTTGTTATGGACGCGTATCCCATTTTTCCCCGAGTGCAAGTCTTTCCTTGCGCCCGCTCGGCGTGCCATGGTCCCTGTAGGTGGCAGTTGGTTCGCACTCGGGCCATGGCGCCTGGCTCGTCTCGGCGAGGCCGAGCAGCCCGAAGAGGCTTCCACCGACGACGGCATCGAGCGGGGTGCACAGGGCGATCTTGATGGTACATGGCAGCAGCGTGATGTTCTTGCTGCTGATCGCACTGTTGACTGCGATTGCTCTTCCGACTGGCCTTGCGTACGCCGCGTCCAGGTGATCACCTTGCTGTTTGTGTCGGCGTGTCTCTCATGGTTTGTCGCCACGCGCGTCCAGGTCCAACCCAGCCTCCAGAGCATGGGCGACAATGTTTCGTTGAAGTCGCAGCTCGTGAATCAGGCGAAGTGGAACCTGAACGGCAAGGAGATGGGCTGCACAAATTGGCGGGAGATTGCCCTGAGGAAGTACGAAACGAAGGCCGACGTCCAGGACTGCGGCGAGCTGTGTGGGGAAACGGCGGGGTGCATGGCCTTCGGTTTCCAGCCGAAAGCTTGCGAGGGCCCGGACCAGGCCTCCGAAGGAGCCTGTTTTCTCTGGGGCGAGTTGTGTCATCTGGAAGCCAACGTCTGCTGGGACAACTATCGGATGGACAGGCCCCCCGTGCCTTTGCCCTGGGGGCTCGCCAGCAGGCGTACGGGGTGCGCCAACCGCGACAAGATTGGGGTTCAGGAGAGCGTCGAGTGGAACGCGAATGAGTGCGGCGAGAAGTGCAGACAGTCGGACGGGTGCACGGCGTTCAACTTCCAGCCCAGGACTTGCAAGGGTCCAGGCTCGGGCGAGAAAGGCGAGTGTCACTTGTTCAGCGGCCCGTGCAAGCAGGAGTCTAATGTGTGCTTGGACTTCTACCTGATGGCACCCCCGCCTTCGGCAACTGAAGCTCAAATCGCGACGTTTAAGTTGGCAGAGCCCGCATCAGAGGGGAGTCGTTATCGAAGATGCCTGCGGTGATTCATCGCCGTCCCCTACCTTTTTGGGAACGTCTATCTGGCCAAATGTTGGGCTACAGTCTGACCAAGCTTTTGCACCATGTAATCCCGCAGCCCATAGCTGTTGTGGAACCACTTGGGGTAACACGTGGGGGATGAAGAGGAAGATGATGAGGAGAGGGAGGAGAGGGTGGACGACGAGGAGGTGATGATGATGATGATGATGAGGAGGAGGAGGAGGCAATCTTGGGGCAACATTGTGCTCGCTTGGGGCCATATTGTCCATCTTCGAGGCCACCTTGACCATCTCAGAAGCCCTCTTGGAGCCATCTTGGGCGGAAAGCCCATGGCAGATACCTTCTCCGGGTGGCCGGCGGGACGCGCCGAAGGCCATTGGGATTCTTGCAAGGGACAAGATTTGTTCGAGGGTTTTGCACGCCGAGTGTTCTTGTGGCAAGCTGGATGGGGCGGTGCGGATCGAAAACGCCTACGGCGAATCACCGCCGCCCCCTGCTTTTCGAAGGCGCCTACGTGGCTGAACGTTGCGGCCAGGGCTCGGCTACGTTATCGGACTACGTGATCCCACAGCCGTTGTGGAAACCTCTCGGGGAACATGTGGGGGAGCAAGAAGAAGAGGAGTAGAGGGAGGAAAAAGGAGGAGGAGGAGGCCTCTTGGGAGCCTCTTGGGGCACTCTTGGGGCCTTCTGGGAGCTTCCCAGGGCCTCTTGGAGGCCTCGTGGGCTTCCTTGGGCCTCTTGACTCTTGTGGTCCTTTGGAGGCTCTTGAGGGGTCTCTTTGGCCGTCTCAGGGAGTTCCTGGCCCGTCTGACGCTGTCCGACGCCGTCTTGGGACCTCTCTGGGCCGTCTTGGGGCCCTCTTGGGGCGCTTCTTGGCCGTCTTGGAGGCCATCTTGGTCATATTGGAGATCTCCTGGGCCCTCTTGGGGCCGTCTTGGGGGCCTCTTGGGCCCTCAGGGTGCCATCTAGGAGACCTCTCTGGCGCTCTTGGGGCCGTCTTGGTGGCATCTGAGGCCGTCGGAATGCCGAGACCGAGCAAGCGTCAAAATCCTTCAAGCACATACGTGAGGCAAATCAGTGATTTTGGCCACGTCGGTGCTTCCTGGAGGTCCTCTTGGAGGCATCTTTCTTAGGCCTTCTTGGAGGCCTCTTGGGCGATCTTGGGGCCATCTTGGGGGCACATCAGCCCGTCCTGGAGACGTCTTGGGGCCATCTTGGGCTCTCTTGGGCTATCGTAGCCGTCTTGGAGAGTATCTCGGCCGTCTTGGAGACCATCTCGGGGCCGTCTGGAGCGGGAAGACCGACGACCTGGAAATTTTCTGGTCCTCATGGAGGCGAGTTGTCTGGTTTTCCCTTCTTTGCGCGTCCTTCCAGGTGGCCACCGGGTTGGGCTGACCGCTTCCTAGAAATTTTGTCAAACAGCTAAAAATTATTTAGCATGCCGTGCACCCCTGTGTCAAGCCACAGGGGGCGGCGGATGACGAAAACCGCGCGTAGCGTCGCGATTCGTTAGTCGGGAACAATAACAAGGGTGTGTGTGGGGGGGTAGGCAGCCCGACCCCCCCAGATGTTGGAAAGCGCGCGTAACGTGCGATCCGTTAGCCGGAAGGGATTACTTAGGGTGAGTGTGAGGGGGTGGCCTTTGTATTGCGGGATGACGGAAAGCGCGCGTTAGCGTGCGGTCCGTTAGTCGGAAGAAATTTGATTTGGGGGAGTTCGAGGGGGGTGGCATCGCCGGCCCAGGATCTAATTGCCCTCCCGCCTCGTTTTTTATCGAGTAGGACGGCCTTCTGGGCTTAAAAACAGCGTTTCGCTCGAGACATCATCGGAGAACGCTTCTTGGGCGCTTCTTGGGCCGTCTTAGGCGCCTAAGACAGCCCAGGAAGCGACCAAGACTGCGCCCAAGACAGCCAAAGACTGCCCCAGAAGCGCCCAAGACGGCCCAAGAGCGCTCCAAGAGAGCCCAAGACCGCCCAAGACGGCCCCAAGACGTCCCAAGAGGCCTCCACGACGCCCCAGGAGGCGCCCACGAGGCGTCCCAAGAGGGCCCCAAGAGGCCAAAATCATTGATTGTCTTGAGGAAAACATGCATTTTTAGCATATACGGCTTTTCGCCTTTCATAGCGCTGAAGACGGTCCAAGAGGCCCCCAAGACCGCCCCAAGACGGCCCAAGATGTTCCCAAGAGGCCTCCAAAATAGCCCAAGAGGGCGCCAAGACGGGCCAAGAGGCGTCCAAGACTGTCCAAGAGGCCCCCAAGAGCGCCGCAAGAAGGCCCAAGAGGCCCCCAAGAAGGCACCAAAACGGCCCAAGAGGGCGCCAAGGCGGCCCAAGAGGCGCCAAGACGGCCCAAGACGGCCCCAGGACGGCCCCAAGAATGCACCAAAAGGCCCCCAAGAGAGCCCAAAGACGGCCAAAGGCAGCCTGGTCCCTTCACCCCCGCAGCCCAGAAGCTCCCAGGAGGCCCCCAGAGGCACCCGAAAAGCCCCAAAAGGTGCCCAAGAGGCACCCAAGAGGCTCCCCAAGAGCCCCCCAAGAGGCCCAAAATACTCCCAAAGGCTCTTAGCACCGCGGCTCCCAAGAGCGAGCGGTGACGTAATCGAGCTGATAAGACCAAAGCTCCCAACAGAGAGCTGCGGCGTAATAAGTTCTTGCAGCCAGGGCACAGGGACGGGCCGCAACGCGTGGACAACGAGCGGTCCACGCAAGGACAACGCGGGGTTCTGGAAAGCTGGCAGCCCAAACGCGGAAAACGCAACGCGACCCGACAGCCCCCTCCAAAACAAGAAACGCGCTCAAAGAACGCTCCGCGACTCTCCGAGGCTGAGATAGGACAAGAGCGAGGGGAAGGGAGTCAATAAGAGGTGTAAGAGCGGACGAGCCAGCGATACCGTGCGCTCTGAAAGTAAGTGCGCTTTCCGTCCCCGTGCCAAGCAGGTCTAATGGCCCGCTTTTTTCCTTGTTCACGGAGCCCTTAACAGGGAACAATCGGGGGCCCAAAACGGACCGTTAACAGGGAAATGGCACCTTTTTCTTGTTAACGGAGCCCTTAACAGGGAGCATCTTGTGCTTAACAGGGAAAACCATGGTTGCACGCTCTGGCACTGTTTTCCCTGTTAACGGAGCCCTTAACAGGGACTTCACAGGGAAAATCGGGTGACGGACGCGTTTGTTCCTTGTTAACGTACCGTTAGCAGGCAAAATAGTTCTTTGTTAACGGACCGTTAACGGACCCTGAACGCCGCGGTTCCCAAGAGCGAGCAGTGTCGTAAACAAGCGGATAATACCAAGGATCCCAACAGAGATCGGTGACGTAACCAGTTCTTGACACCAGGGCCCGACACGGGCGGCAACGTAAGCTCCGCGTAAGTTCCGCGTAGGCTTCGCGTAAGCGCGTAAAGTCCTCGTCAATGTGAGGTACCTTCAAGACAGCCCATGAGAGACCAAGCGTCCTCCAAGACGGTCCAAGATGCCTCCAAGACGACCCAAGAGGCCAGAGGCCCAGACGATCGCCCCAAGATGGCCCAAGATACCCCCTAAGACGGCCCCAAGACGTGTTCGAACATCTGCACGTATGCAGACGGCTTCAACGACCTCCAAGGCGGCGTAGAGAGGCCCAGACGGGCCCGAGGACGGCCCAAGAGCGATCCAGGTAGCCTACGGCTCCAGAGGTCTCCAAGACCCCCCCCAAGCACCGATGGGCGGTCTGAGCGGGAAACAACAACGAAAGTAGGGCTTTCGCCGCCCAGGGGGCGCCCCTGGCCCCACCCTACCTGCATAAGCTCCTCGCCAGCCTAGGGCACCTCCAAGACGGCGCGAGAGAGGCCCAGACGGGACCGAAGACGACCCAAGAGCGATCCAAGATAGCCCAAGATGGCTTCGGGTCGTCACCCAGATATGCATCCCCCACGGGCGGTCCTGGGCTCAGGAAAGCGCCAAGACGCGACAAGAGCGCCCTAAGAGCGGCCCAGAACGATCCACAAGGGCCTCGAATCCGGAAGAATCGGTCCAAGACGCCACAATAGCCTCCAGACGGCCCAATACGTTTTCAAGACGCCCCAAAAAACCTCCAAGAGCACTCCCAAGCGAGCCCAGAGATGCAAAAATCGTGGATTTCCTGTAAGTTTTTTAGTCATGCTGGCATTATTGCTCCCACGAGCGATCGGCAACGTAACAGTCTCTACACACAAGGGCTCCCAACGGAGAGTGGCGACGTAACAAGCTCTTTACGCCAAGGCTCCCCAGAGCGAAGGGTGCCATGAGCCCTCTCGGGCCAGTTCCTGCAGCGTTCCTTCCGTTTCCGTGCCGGCCCAGGTAACGGAAAGAGTGAGGTACGAGTGACGACGTTTTGGTGGGGCGAAGCTTTCTAGGGAGGGGTTCAGGGGAGGGGCGAGGGCCGAACGCCCCGGCGCTAATGGCCGCCTGAGGGCCGTTTCCTTTGTTTTTCGTGCAGTAAATCGGCTCGCGTGCGCCTTCCACGGCTCGATTCCTTGTATTTGTTTGAGTGAAGCGGCTCATGGGCCCCAAGACAGCCCAAGAGGGCACCAAAATTACCCAAAGACGGCCCCAAGAGAGTTTCGGATGGCTTCCAGACGGTCCAAGAGAGCCTCGAGACGTCTCCAGAGACCCTCCAAAAGGCCTTCGAGAGGGCCTCAGGAACCCAAAAACATGAATCCTCCTGCGAGGCACGAGCGTGGGGGTGTATCATCTTCCTCCTCTGTCCCCCCCTGCCGTCCTCCTCTCCATAGCTTTCTTCCGGCTCAAGTCGGAAGACTGCGCCGCGCCGCCGCCGGGTTGCGTTCCCGCGCCACTTCGGAAGGCGCTGCCATGGGCTCGGAGGCCGGGCTTGACGGCAGGGACCCTTCCGGAGCAGCGCCGCCCTCCCCGGGCGGGGTGACCGCGGCGTCGGTCGCGGGGCTTCCAGGTGGCGCATTGGGAGCAGCAGGTCGGAGTGGTCTGCCTGAACTACGGCGGGGCCGAGGTGGAACGCGCGCTCCCGCTGCGGCTGCGCGAGCTGATGTCAGGCCTGCCCCGCCGGGAGTTTGCCGCCAGGCTCAACGCGGATGACCGTGTCGACGAGCGCATCCTCCGGTGGCTCTTGGACCCGCAGATGGCGATGCTACCGCGCGAGTCGTGGCCCTCGCGCGCGCCGCGGGCGAAGATGCACGTGCAGCGGCCCGAGGAGTGGTACGAGGTCGCAGGACATCTGTACCAGCTCGGCATCCTGTCGGTGATCGACAAGAAGGACGTGTTCGCAGTCGACGGGGAGCTTGTGCTCTCAGGAGCACTCGCGGTATCAAAGCGCGGGGATCCACTCCCAGGTGAATCCCGGGTCACCCGCTTCATCATGAACATGGTGCCCAACAAATCTTAGTTGCGGACGCTGCACCACGACGCGTGCGCCCTGGCGGCGACCACGGGGTGGACGTCGATCCACCTCCCGCGTGGCGGAGTCTTGGTGTGGCACGGGGACGACCAGCTGGGTGCTTTCTTCGTGTGGAAGGTCCCGGCAGCCTGGCGGGGGTTTTATGATTTTTGCGCAGCCTGTGCCCGCGTCTTACCTCGGGCTGGAAGGCTTGGAGCGGTTTTGGCTTTGCTCGGCTGTGATCCCGATGGGCTGGGTCCTCGCCGCGCTGGTCTTCCAACACCTGCACCGCCGCCTATGCCTACGGGCCCCGCCGCGCGGCGGAGGGCCCCCACCAGAGGCGGAGTGGCGGCGAGACAAGCCGCTACCACTCGCCGCGGCTGGCTCAGAAGAGCACGCGTGGTGGCAGGTGTACGTGGACGACTTCGACGCGCCCGAAATCACGTCGCTCGCGGAGGCGGAGCAGCGCTGCGGGCAGCCGGGCCGTTTGCAGCAGTTGCAGCGCGCTGCTTATGCTTGCGCGGGGGTGCCCTGGGCGAAGGCCAAAGCGCGTGAGGGTGACCTCGTCGTGGAGCGAATTGGCGCAGAGGTCGACGGTTTTGTGGGGCGCGTCTCCGCCCCACCCGCCAAGTTGATTGAGGCCCAGCGGTTGGCTGTCCGTGTCTTGGGGCGTACACGCGCCCGTTGGTTCATGATGCTGACGCTGCTCGGCCGGCTGACGCGGTGCTTCGAGTTCAGGCGCCCGCTCATGGGGTGCCTCAACGGGAATTGGCGTTTCGCCACCTGGCGGCGCGGGGGTGGCGTTACGACGGACATGTCTGTGGAATTGTTGCTGTCGGTGGCTCTCGCGCCGATGGCGTTCACGGATCTCCGGGCGACGATCTCTGGTATGGCGACGGTTTCCGATGCGTCCAAGCAGGGCGGCGGCGTCTGCGCATCCGCGGGTTTGCAGCCCAGGTCAGCCGCCACGCTGGCGCGCGCTGGCCAGGGCCCCCAGCAAATGGCCATGGCAGGGCGGCTGCTGCATGGGGCCGGACGCGCCGAGCAGACCGCTTTCGACTGCCAGGCTGCGCGCCCGCGGCCGGTGACCTTACGAACGGTGGTGTGCGTAATTTCGGTTTCTGTTTCTGCAGCGCTCTTTCCGTTTCTGTGCCAGGCCAGGTAACGGAACGAGCGAACTACGAGTGATGACGTTCTGGTGTGGGCGAAGCCCTAGAGGGAGGGTTTCCAGGGGAGGGGGGTAGGCTGGGGGAATGGACTCTAATGGCCGTTTTCGGGTTTTCTTTGTGGTTTTTGCATGTTTTTTCGGGTTCCCCCCCAAGACGGCCGAAAAGCGCTCCAAGAGAGCCCAAGACCGCCCAAGACGGCCCAAGAGGCCCCCAAGAGGCGCTCAAGGGGCGTCCCAAGAGAGCCCCAAGAGGCCAACATCATTGGCTTTCTTTAGGGAAGCGTATATTTCTAGCATATACGGTTTTTCGGCTTTCACTGCGTAGACGACGGCCCAAGAGGACCCCAAGACCGCCCCAAGACGGCCCCAGAGGCTCCCAAGAGGCCCCCAAAACGGCCCAAGGGGGCCCCAACACGGTCCAAGAGGCGCCCAAGACGGCCCACGAGGGCCCCAAGAGGGGGACCACGAACCGAAAAGTTTAGCCTTTTGCCCCAAGACGCTCCCAGGATGCCCCAAGAGCCCCCCAAGAGGCGTCCCAAGAGGCCACCAGGAGGCTAAGATCATTGATTTCCCATAGGAAAATGTGCATTTCTAGCATACAAGGCTTTTCGGCTTCCACGGCGTTGAAGACGGTCGACGAGGCCCCCAAGACCGCTCCAAGACGGCCCAAGAGGCCCCCAAGAGGCCCCCAAAACGGCCCAAGAGGGCGCCAAGACGGCCCAAGAGGGCCCCAAGACGGCCCCAAGAGGGGGAATGTGCATTTCTAGCATACAAGGCGGTTCGCCTTTCACTGCGTTGAAGACGGTCCAAGAGGCCCCGAAGACCGCCCCAAGACAGCCCAGGAGGCTCCCACGAGGCCCTCAAAACGGCCCAAGAGGGCCCCAAGACGGCCCCAAGACGGCCCAAGAGGCCCCCAAGACGGCCCCAAGAGTGGGACCACAAACCTAAAAGTTTATCTCTTCGCCCAAAGACGCTCCCGGGAAGCTCCAAGAGTCCCCCAAGAAGCGCCAAGGGGTCCCCAAGAGGCGTCCCAAGAGGCCACCAGTGTCAATGATAATGATGTCGAGCTGCTTTTGGCCGCGAGCTGCAAGATCCGCTCGGTCGATCTTTATGAAATGAGGCGTATGCCTCGCACACGCAGCTTGTGAAATCAGGGAAACCCCAGTCTGTGACTGGAACACATCTGATAACTTGTTATCGCTGCTGGCTCGAAAAGGGGATCCCCTGATATCGTTCGATAGCAAACGGCCGCGGAAACATAACGTGTTATGTTATCCGGTTTTAAAAACTCCACTTACCCCGGTCGGGGTACCAGTCTCTAAACTGCTGAGCTACTGCGTTTCGGCTGGGGCACAAAACTCGCTCATTTTCGCACAGAATATAAAATCTGCAGCTTCGAAACTGGAGATCAGCAGTCAAACACCGCCAATCTTAGATACAAACAACAGCATGCATGAATAACCTCACGCTGTAAAAGGCTATGCGCCGCCGTCTGCATATACAAAGCAAAACGAGTTTTGAACAACCTCTTAGTCCACCTTGAAATTCTCAAGAATCCGCTTCACCAAATCCGCTTTGATTCCTGAAACTGGCAGCGCCATTTCACGCAGCATGCCCTGCAAAGCGTAGACCGGCATGGCCTCCAGCTTCTTCTTGACGTCCGGTGGGTTGTAGCTGTGCATGGCAATGAGGTCGTCTAACTTTTGCGCAGCAATACTCGGTGGTAGCTTCAGTCCGCTGCTTGGTACTGTACATGAAACCATCTCCTGTGAGCTGGCTGGACGTGAAACCGCAACGGCTGTAGGTACAGGCTCAGGTTTGTTAAACTTCTGTGAAATCACGAACAAGAGTACACAACTCAAAGCCATAAATGCTGCACCGATTGAAATACCTGCTGCAAAAGTCCCTGCCGGTGATAGCACAAACTGAGACCACTGATCGAAAGGCTCGGCTAAAACATATGTTGAAACTTGTTGGCCGATCACTGGGTCCGTAGTTGCCACCACTGCGGTAGCTGCTGCTAGTTGAGGTAATGTCGTTCCCGATGAAAAGCTGCTTGCCAAAACGCTGGAAAACAGAGCTGCACGCACAAATCGAGAAAACTTGGTCGAAATAGCTGTACTCACTTCAGCCTGGTAGACCACTTCATGTACGTCAATCCTCGATATGTCGTCGTCCGCGCTGTGGTCCTTCGGCTTGGCGTAGTTCGCATTCAGGTAGTCAGCGTCCTCTTGGACCTCAACTCGCTGTGCCCGCTGGATCTCGTCCCACGGATCTGTCAGCTTCCGCTTCCTGAGTGAAGGTGCTCGGGGATCCGGTCCAAACGTCCACAAGTTCTCGTGAAAAACTCGGTCCTGGTAGGGTGTGTCCATCTTCTTCGTGAGTCCGTCGGCTAGCTGCTGCTCAGATCGCACCCACTTAATGCCACCATGCTGGCACTCCTGTCTGATGATCGCTGCTTCCAGCGAGAGACGTCGATCTGACAAGTGAACACGCTCCTTGACCACACAGTCCCACAGAGAACGGCAGTCCGTGACCAAAACACCTTTCCACTCTTCTGCTGCCTGACGGTACTCATGACCTAGCTTGTTGGCTGAGAAGATGTCGGCGCATACAGCACGTGTCCAGAACGTGACATCCTGAGCCTCAGAACAACTGTAGGCCTCCGCCGAAAGGGTACTCCGCACAGCACGTCCAATGCGTCCACTTGACCAGGCCAGTAACATACAGGGATAGAGCTTGGTGTGGTCATCTGTCATAGCGCCATCTCCCACCATGATGTAAAACCCGCGCTGGCTCTTGTGGTTCGGCATGTTGTCGAAAGATGCGTCGTGCGATGCGATAATAACGGAGGTCTCGAAGTCGAAACCACCACGGAAGATCATCTGCGTCTTCCCCTCTCGTCGGATAGAACGCACAAGGCTATTCATGCCCTTCATGTCCTGCACCGTCGGCTTAGACATCTGGCCCGCGAGCCTCGATGCCTCGAAACTGTACTTATGAAGCAGCAACCGCACCACCCACTGAACTTGACCGTTCATACCACGTAGTGCGCGGTGCTCGGCTGCGGTGAGAAGCTCCTTCTCCTGCTTCGCCCTCTCCCGGGGCATGCGGTAGTCCGTCATCCCGTCGATGTACTCGTCCATGTCGATCGTGATGACGTAATCCTCGTCCTGCTTGAAGCGCCGGCCTGTGAAGGTAGCTCCCTCAGGTAGGCCCTGCAGTTCGTGCCAGTCGCCGAACTCGACCTGCTCCTTCAGCTGCTTGATGACCTGCTCGCAGAACTCTCGGTTCTTCTCCATGTCGAAAGCCATGAGCATGTCGTCGACGTGTAGGCAGAGAAGCCCCACCAGCTGCCCATTATGCATGAGCTTGAAGGCTGCGGTCTCGAACTGCAGCTGCTCGAAGCCGATCTGCTTGAGGATCTGGACAATCCGCTTGTACCACGCCCTCGCCGCGTCGTTGGTACCGTAGATGCTCTTGTTGAGCTTGAGCAAGCTCCCGTCTTCTAGCCCTGGAATGCTCATGCCAGGCATGTTCTTGGGCAGTTTGAAGTACAACTCCCTCTCGATCTTGACGCCCTGCAGGAACGCCCCTGTGGCGTCACCTGTGAAGCACGAGAACCGCTTACACGCCGCGATGCTGCAGAGAAGGTTCTGCATGAATGGTGAGCATGTCGGTGAGTCTCGGCGTAGCTTCTCGTCGTACTTCTCTTGGAAGCCCTTGCCCACGATGCGGCACTTAGGCTGGAAGTTGGCATTGTCGTCGCTGCCCTTGTTTGTCCAAACTGCACGGCTCTCGATCTGCAGCGACTTGTCGATCTTCTTGGCCATCGTCGGTGTGATGACCGTCACCGCGTCGTACTTTGTCCAAGTACTCCACTCCTTGATGAGTGAATTGAGACACTTCTCAGTGCGCTCCTTCGTGTAATTGTCGCTGCGCTTCAGCACCTCCTTAATGTCCATCTCGCCCTTGGTTGCCCGGTCGGCTCGTTCAGCTGCAAACGACTCGCACATCACCTGGTTGGTCGCGTAGGCTGTGCGCACCCTCTTGTCATTCGCCGTCGTCGCAGTATTGCGGCCAATGTGGGCCCGATTCTGGTAGATGGTCTGAGATGCCGGCGTCTTGCGCTTGAGCTTAGTGCGCCGTTGTTCGCCCTCCTCACGATGTGCTTGTTGTCTGGCTCGCTGTCGTTGTCGAGCACTGTCTCCATCAGAATCTGCCGTAGGACCTGCAGGCGTACTGCTGGTGGGTGCGCTGCTCGCTGCTGGAGGATCGGCCCTAGCCGGAGCCGGGTTGTCTGGTCCGAACGACTGAGGAGGTCCTTGAGGTTCGGCACCTTCTGGAAAACCTCCAGGAGCCTGTCCGCCCGATGGGTCATTCTCGGTCCGGTACGTGTACTCCACCACGACGTCGAGCATGTCCATATCGCGTACCAGAGGCACGTCGAACGGCACGTCCAGGTTGTTGCGCGCCAGGTCCTCCATCATCACCTTCGTGTTGTAGTTGAAGATCCGTCGTCGTAGCAACCTGTCTCGAGGAATGATTTCATTCTCGGGTACTGGTGTTGTCGTACATCGTGCAATCCTGGTCGCTAAGATGGCATCGTATGGTCCACGAGCCTGTGAGCCGATGATCATAGCCCACGACTCTGGGATACTCCACGATCCTTCAGGCCATTCAGCTTCCACTCGTCGCCGTTGTGCAGGAGGCTGTCCAGCCACGTCAGCATCACGACTTTGAACTCCGTCCATGTCTTGCTCCTGAACTGCTGCTGGAGGTACTGAATCTGGTGGCTGATCTGATGGCTGCTCTGGTGGCTGTCGTGGTTGTAGCCCAGGTTGTAGAGGCTCTCGTGGTGCTGTGAACGTGGTGTTCCGTAGGTCCACGAAACCGCGCTGCCCATGTGGAACTCCTTGCCATTCGCGCTGATCTCCAGGAATGCGATCCTCGATCTCGTTTAGCGTCGAC